TAAAACAAAATCTTTACAATAGTTGGAAATCAGTTTACTTTATGCAAGCTCTAAAGTTTGTTAAGAAATCAAATCATGCATCAGCAATGCAGCAGAACCTTTAGCAGTTTGGGGGAGTAATAGTGCAGATGGTGAAGTGAAGGCAAAAAAAAATATTGAGAGAAAAATGAAAGACAAGTTATAAAGTAAGTCAGAAAAGCAATTAATTGTCAGCTAATTGCTCTCATTAGAAAAGATAGGGCTGATTTAGCAGCCTCCTATAATGGACAGTTCAAACATGTAGTGTCAATGTGGACTGCACAGATGGGCGGTCTGAGAGCTCCACAGTACATATTGGCAGCTCTCAGTCTGATAGCAACAGGGCTGATAAGACCCGAACCCATCATCAAAACTTCACTCTATCTTTTTGGTGTTAAAGAAGCAGAACTGAATGTAAGGAGACCTGGAGATAGCGTAATAGTAGAGGCCTCATAGAGCAGCTAAAAGATAAACAGCATTATGGTGTAACACAAGATGGCAAATAAAAAGGTAAAGATAGAAAGAAATGCTTCAACGCTTAGCAGGCGTGAGGCTTACTATTTATATTTTGAATGAGTGCATTAAGGCATCATAATATAAAGCACATATAATTAAGAACAAACTAGCACACTCAAACTGATGTGATCTAAGCTTCCTGGATGAAATCAAATATCCACTCGCCCTGAAAAGTTTATGGCAGCTTTCAGCACTCTATCGTTCATCTTGTCCATTTTGTAATCAGGTTTCTATTGACTAAACACAGAAAGAAATCCACTCTAAGTGTTTAATGATAGCACCCATTTTCTTTAAAAGAACGCATGACAGGCACTGTAACTGGGAAACAGGGGCAAGCTGAGCAAAATGAGACTAACAACAGCTCAGGGAGAATAAAACAGAAAAATGCTTGTTTTAAGGACATTATGGCCCAATTGCTCAAATGTGTTTTGGAATGTGTCTTTTTATACACAAAACATCACAGAACTAAATCTAATCTATTGGAAAGCTGCCAAAACCAGAGTGAATAAGGCAAAGCATTACAGCACCTAGCAAAAGCATTCATCTCCCATGTGCTTCCTCACATTTTGTCACATTACAACTGGAAACTTCCAGATATTCTATTGGATTATGTGTTATAGACCAGCAATACTGCATTATTCTGAAGCTAAGGGAAAAGGGTAGACGGTTTTCAATGTGTTTTGGAAAGAGAACTACTAAATCATGTGATGTGGATTAATGAGTTAATGAGTCTGTACTTGGGAGAAAGACTATTTACCTCAATTAAAGAAATAAAACTCCGAGGGTATGCTTACAGTACAAACATCACAACTTCTGACAAAGATACCTGCACATTTATCTTACAAATAATTAATTGTTTGTGAAAATCAATGTTTTTATATGTTGGCACATTATTAATTGGATTTGGGTCAGGACCTGGACTGGGCGAATGTAATACAAAACTCATTGTAGCTTTAGCTATTTTTATAAGGTCGCTGTTCTGATGGAAGATGAACCTCCACCCCACTCATGTTTTTTTGTGTGTAATGTCTCTCCTAGGGCTGAAATAATTATTTTGGATTAATCGTAATTAAGATTGTTTAAATAATCATCAACTAATTTAATAATGGATTAATAACTAGTGTATAGAGACTGTTAAATATGCTTTTAGCTGCAAGAGCAACTCACTTAGAGCTCTAATTATATCAAAATTGTAAAAAACTATTTAAATATTTTGTATTTAAGATTTTTTTTTTAAATGCCTATCAATATGCTCTATCCAGAACTCAAGTGAAAAAGTTTTTGTTTCACCTGGTTTTATTTTGTAAAAAATCTTCTTTAAGAAATCTTTTACTATCCGATTATTAATCGATTAATCGAAAAAATAAGCGACAGATTAATCGATTTGCAAACTAATCATTAGTTGCAGCCCTAGTTTTCACCAATTTCCACAATGACAGATTCTTTCTTCTATGCTGTTTATTTATTCTAACCTGACCTATTAATTGCATTCCTCAGTTTTGAACCTAATTGTTTACTGATTTTGACAAATAAAGCTACTGATTTTTTACAAATAAAGAGTTATTGTAACTTTGACAGAAAAGCTGCGTTCACACCAAAATGGTAACGTCTACAAATAACTGATTTCATCTGATGTTATGAGTAAAGGATGCTGAACAAAAATATTATCAATTTTTTTAGATCTGCATTCGTTAAATAAATTTGTTAGAACAGTGCATGCAAACCTAAACCGTGCCATCAGATCAGCGAAGCAGCACCACAGCCAGAAGATCCAGGATCTTTTCTACGACGACAACAACAGCAGGAGGATGTGGAAAGGCATTCTGATGATCATGGACTACAACACACCCTCCCCCCTGATAGATGCAGCAAAAACTGATTTCCTAAATAAAGTGCACAACTTCTTTGGAAGGTTTGAGGCACTAAACAGCACTCCAGCAGGGAAAGCCATTCCACACCAGGAGGAGGAGATACCTAACCTGGATGTAGCTAAGGTGAGGGAAACTCTGAGGAGAGTCAATCCAAGAAAGGCCTCAGGCCCTGATAACATACTTGGGCGTGTGTATAAGGAGTGTGCAGATCAGCTGGCTAGTGTCCTAAAAAACATTTTTAACACCTCGCTGGACCGATCTGTATTGCCAGCATGCTTCAAGTCTTGCCACCTTTATTCTGGTCCCAAAGAAGCCTCAGGTCACCTCACTAAATGATTACCGGTCTGTCGTACTGACTCCAATCATGATGAAGTGCTTCGAAAGGCTGGGTAAAGAACACATCGTCTCCAGTCAACATTTGACCCGTTCCAGTTCGCCTACCGACGGAACCGCTCTTCTGAGGACGGCATCTCTGCTGCTCTCCACCTGAGCCTGGCACATCTGGAGGAGAAGAACACCCACGTGCAGATGCTGTTCCTGGACTTCAGTTTTAGCTTTCAACACCATAATCCCACAGCATCTGATAGGGAAAGTAGAACAGCTGGGCTTCAATACACCCCTCTGCAATTGGCTGCTAGACTTCCTCACCAACAGACCTCAGTCAGTCCGGATCGGACAGAACACCTCTGATGTCATCAGTTTAAGCACAGGCTCCCCTCAGGGCTGCATCCTGAGCCCCCTGCTGTTCACCCTGATCACACATGACTGCGTCCCCAGGTTCACCACCAATCACATCATGAAGTTTGCAGACGACACTACGATGGTGGGCCTCATCAGAGACGACAACGACCTGGACTACAGAGAGGAGCTGGAGCAGCTGGTGGTAGGGCTGGGCGATATAGAAAAAAAAGCTTATCGATAAAAAAAAAATGCATATTGATCGATATCGATAATTATTGAAAAGATTTGAAACCATATTTTATGTGCAGCTCTGCCTGGACTTTTTATAATATTGCTAAATGATTTAATTTTAATAAAGAACACAAACACAGACTTTGAATAAAATCTTTATTTAACCAACTTTTTTAACCATAACAGAATGGTTTTAAAGAAAAATAACTTAAGAGACTACATTATAGGCTACAATGAGAAGGAAGGAAAACTGCGTTTCTTTTTTAATCAAACTTTTATCGACTCTCTTTTTTTCTATTGCGCCACACGTCTATCGATCGATATATATCGTTATTGAATTATCGCCCAGCCCTAGCTGGTGGAATGCCTGATTCTGAATGTGGAGAAGATGAAGGAGATCATCATGGACTTCAGGAAGAACCAGCCTAACCACGCTCCACTGGTCATCAACAGCTCAGCTGTAGAGATGGTCAACAGCACCAAATTCCTGGGGATGCACATTACAGACACCCTCACCTGGAATGTAAATGCCACCTCACTGGTCAAAAGCGCACAGAAGTGCATGTACTTCTTACGGAGGATAAGGAGAGCCCACCTGCCCCCACCCATCCTCACCACCTTCTACAGAAGCACCATAGAGAGCGTTCTGACCAGCTGTCTCACTGTGTGGTGTGGAGGCTGCAGGGTCTCAGACTGGGAGAAGGTGAGGAGAGTAGTAAGAACAGTAGAGAAGATCATCAGGGCTCCTCTTCCCTCCATTAAAGACATTTCATCCCAGCGTTGAGTGTTCCAAGCCCTTAACATCATAAATGACCCCTTACACCTCCACCATGGACTGTTCTCCCTGCTGCCCTCTGGTAAGAGACTTCGAGGCATTGGATGCAGGTCCAGCAGATTCCACAACAGTTTATTTCCCACTGCCATTAGACAGCTGAATGTTATGAAATTTTTATTATAAAAAATAAACAAAACTGAATGTTAGAACTGTAACTATACAGTCATATGTTTACATTACTGTTTTTCATCACAATGTTTTTTTATCACTGCTGCTTACCTGATCAAGGCTGCACTTTAAAAAAAATGAAATAGTCTAGAGAGCTATACTTGTGTATACAAAATGACAAAATAAAATCCAAGTCTAAAATTGTTAGAAAAACAGTTTTACTTATCCCATTCCTCATGACACTGCACTTAATGAACGCCTTTCTTTGGTCAAACACATTCAGTTCTAATAAGAATAAAAAATATGAAAAATTAAAGTAGGTTCAAATACTTCTCAGAGATAGAGAAGAGATAGATTTCTTATCTAAAATCTCTAAAACCCTTTCAGACAAGAAAAAAAACAACAACAAAAAACGTCCGCTTGATGTATTAGAGTCGACGTGGATGTAATTAACAAGAATGATAACTCTTCCCCTCTCCAACTGAGAGGAGTGGGAGCTCTGGTATCTGCTCTGTCCAAAAACAGCTTAATCGCATCTCATTTTCTGCTGAACCTCTGATTGAGTCAAAGGCGCAGAGTTACGATAATGCTCGTAGTCTGCTAATGAGTACCAAGTGGCGGTAGCAGTTTAAGGTTACATGCTGCTGGCTTGACTTCTACACCTGCAGCTCATTCACTGACTTCAAAATAACATGAGACAAAAAACAAAAAAACAAAAAAATTCTGTTCCTCCAGCTTACCTCTCGATTATGTCAGCAATGGTGCAGGCAAACATCTGCAGGCCCTCTGGAAGCTGCAGGGCGACTGAAACAAAATGCAAACAGAGAAGTTGCATGATTGTTTTACAGCAATAGATATATGTTATGTAATACATCCTTTATAGAACACCTTACATGGCAGCTGCTGGTTTGTAACGCTGATAGCCAACTGTGACATTTCAAAGCAATATTAATTTTCTGCTGGTTGGTTTATTTTGGCAGGTGGCAGAGTTGGAAAACCCAGAATAATTTACAAGAGCTCCATCTCTGGAGTTCACAACTTGCCTCAAGCATCGTACACAGCATTGAGTCATGCTGCCCCTAAAGTCAAGCAACCAATTAACTTTCTCTTGGCCTTTTGATCCTTGCGATCCCAACAATAGAAAGTCAGCTGATTTACTGACATATGAGCAGAGCCGCTCAGAGGAAGAAAGCTAATTTTAGAGCGCACCAAACATTTTGTACCTTTTCTCAGACTTTCAGAGACAGGCATCTTTTATTTTATTTATTTTTAATAACACCAGTGAAAGCCTGGAAGCACAGTTTGCCTATCATCTCTGCTTCACCCTGCCTGCAATCAGGGACCCCTTTCCTTTATGCATATTCCATCAAAGACAAATGACTTCTACTAGTGTAAACACACAGACCGGCTTTGAATGAGAAATTACCCAGCTCAAAAAAGTATATTAAAGAAAAAATGAACTGGATAAAGATATTTCACATGTTTTCTATCAAAACCTCAGTAATAAGACCAGAGTCAGCTCAGCACACACCAGGGATCTGAACTACATTCGCTCAAAAACATTTGGGAGCTTTGGCAAAGGAAACTTTTTAAGAACGACAAATGTGGAATCCGAGTGATTTATCTGAAAATATGGAGTTGATCATAACCTGGGAAAACCGGTGCATTTACAGAGCTGACTGTTGTTTTCTTCTCAGTAGTATATATATTCTCGCTTAAAAGGATGGATAATATGCTGAAAGACAGTATTTTGGAGGTAGGTTACTGATGTATAGGTGGGTAGCAATGTTGCCTTGCAGCAAGAAGGTTCCGGGCCTGATTCCCTGCACTGGGTCTTTCTGCATAGAGTTTGGATGTTTTCCCCGTGCATGCGTGGGTTTACTACGGGTGCTTAGGCTTCCTCCCACAGTTCAAAAACAGAACAGGTTAATTGGCTTCTCTAAATTCTCCTTAGGTGTGAGTGTGTGTGCATGGTTGCAAGTCTTTTTATGTGTATGTGTTGCCCTGAAACAGGGTGGACAGGTCGCCAGTCAGGTTGCCAGAGACAGGCACCAGCCCCATCTTGACCTGACGGAATGAGCAAAAGAAGATGGATGGATGAATTTAAATGCCCCCTCTTATATGTTACACCTGTTTTCAAACCCTTACTTTTGTTGAGATCAGATATCAGTGATTTAACGGGAACGACCCCCCCTTAATGTCACACTCCAGTGAGTTTATAAAAGGAAGTGGCTCCCATTCAACTTCCTGTAGCCAGTGGCCGCTGCCTGCTTAACGTGAGACGTTTCTCATTTGAAAGCTACAAAACCCCAGAGGAGAGGTCTGTGCTCAGACTACCTGTCCTACAATTAAGATGGAGCTAATTGTAGTAACCATCTTTGCCTGTAATCCAAATCAAATTGAACACATTGTGAACCCACCTGCTGAAGCAGAGGAGAGAGAGCTTTCCAGTTCTGGTCGACCTACATATAACTGCCGAAGGCTAACAGCTGAGTCTAATTGCTGTTTGCTAGGTTAGAAGCAGCTGATCCTTGCCATAGTGGTCTTGCCACTGCCGCTGGCTTGAGAGACATCGCCTGCATTCATTTGCCGCTCCCTAAGCCGCCGCAACCAGCTAACTGCCGTAGCTAGAGAGGTTCCAGGCTACTATGAGTTATAAAATTAACTCCAGCAAAATTGCCTCTTGGTATTGCATCGGGTTAATCCAAATCTCTTTTAGAGCTGCTGTTGGATGAACGGACTGGACCGAAGACTGGGTCTGCAAAGAACCTAACTGAGGGAAAAAGTCCCTTCCACACCACTGATCCAAAACAGTAACATCCATCCTTCCCTCTTTCCATCTGATGCTTATTAAAGGCTCTGCTTGGGTGAACTAGGTAGAATAGATAGTTATGCATGTGCTTTATTTGAAATAGCTTTTTGATTTCAACTGCTGATGGTTTTAATAGTTCTGAACTTAATGCTAATGCTCGCTGATCCGACTGAACAACCAACATGGGTCTGAAGACAGTGCTACTGTGGACTTGCTATCATCGTTAGCTCCCAGTTACATTGTGCCAGCCACTTTGTAAAAGTCACACTGTGAGCTCTAACTTTCCTTTGTTTCACCTGGGCCTGCCGGACCAGACCTCCTGGGGCCAGCTAAGCTTACCCATTCTCTTTCAGCTTCATCACATTTTAATGCATTGCTGTGTCATAGCTCATTTTTCACTGTAAACCGAAACTGCATTGTTTTGACTACATTTAATATCCTTGTATCAGGGTTTATTTTCATTTATCTGCTGCTAATTTAAAGGATGCTTTCAATGCATTAAGCCTTAAACCCCTCCTTCCCTTTTATTTGCTTTATTTACTTGTGCCTATTTTTAGTAGTGTTTAGTGTTTGTGTAGCTATTAGATATAATAGTCCTGTGTGATTATTAGCTGATAAAGGTGCCATTCTATTTTAACCCATGGTCTTTTGAGTTTATTTTATGCAGTGAATGATTTATCACTCAGTCTGGATTCACCTTTCTTTCAGTAACATCGAAGCCATAGCCATAGTTTTAATTACTAAATTGGTGAAAGCAATTGGATTTAAACAGCCAATCCAGGAGTCCATCCTTTTATGTAAGAGACCAAGAACCCTGGTGAGTAAGCAAATTACAGTTATGATCATTCATCTAATGATCATTAATTGGTTTCACCTCAATGTTGAATTACCTACTAATTAACTATAACTTCAAGATCTAGTTATTTAATATATTCATAGTCTTCTGTTAAACTTACACAAAACTACTGAAAAGTTATTTTGGATAAAAAGAGAAAAAAACAATTGACAAATACTGTATTACTGTTAATTTCCAGGTAGGGGCCGCAACACAGAATCTGTGCTAAGGACCCCCAAATTCAAAAAAGTCAATACAACTTTTTTCATTCATTTCCTTTTCCTCACTCAACCCAAAAAAACTTCAGCCACATAAATGTACAAAAAGTAATGGGTTTCTTTAGACAGTATTTTTTTCTCAACTTTCTGAGCTTCTTCACAGATTTGTTTAGTGCATTTTTTTATAAATAGGTTACATATGCATAAATCATACTTTAGTTGTGTATAATAAGAGTTATTTTCTATTTCCATTAAATAAAATTGGTAGCATTTTCTTTTAAGACCATAAAAACACCCATAAGGTAATTTGTATTGATTAAAAAAACAAAGAAAAAGGCAATCAATCTTTCAGAGGAAGATTTATGAGGGAAATAACACAAAGGTGCAATTAAAAGAGTCAAGGGAATACATGTGATGCAATTGGACGTTATGCACCTTGTGAACATTTGATTAAAAACTAAGTCATTCTGGACTTTGGTCTTTTTTATGAGTCTTAAGAATGTCTATTCAGCCTTATAACAATCTGTTTAATAAAACAAATATATGATTTGGGGTTGATTATGACTTTTATTATTTTACTGTTCTCTTATTTGTGAGTTATGAGATAAAATTATACCGCAGTGGTAATCTCTTCAAGAAGCAAATCATTTTCCTTTTTATATAAGTGCCATCATTAATCTGGCAATGAGAGTTAATTTGTTTTCAATATTATGAAAATATGGGACTCAGACAGGCATATTTTTTCCACTACAATAATAATGGCTTACAACTAATAAAAAGTAAAAATTGTCCTCTTCGGGAAACTATACTTTAGCAAAGTAAAAGAATTTGTAATTCATCTGGGTCCTTTGTATAAATTACCAAATCAATGTATCAGAGCAGGGAGATTGTCTTTGCAGCACTGCTTTGTTAGGACACCAAGGCTGTTGTAATAGTAGAATTTAGCTAATCTGCATTATTGGATATGTGGCCACTCATCCTCCTTTTTCGCTACATTTTTGTTTGGGTCAGGCTAGCTTATTGAAGTGAAGCACAGTAACATCATGGCCATTAAACCAAGCAGGGCTTCTTTAGGCAACGTGGACAGATGTCTGCCTTAAATAAAACCATAATTTCAATAAAGGGGCTGTTCAGTGGCACAATGGGTAGCGCTTCTGCAGCACGAAGGTTCCGGGTTCAATTCCCGGCCCAGGGTCTTTCTGCATGGAGTTTGCCTTCTTCCCCTGAGCATGTGTGAGTTCTCTCCGGGTACTCCACCTTCCTCCCACAGTCCAAAAACATGACTGTTCGGTTAATTGGCTTCTCTAAAAAATTCTCCTTAGGTGTGAGTGGGTGTGCGGGTGTGTGCATGAATGGTTGTTTGTCCTGTTTGTCTCCATGTTGTCCTGCAATGGCCTGTACAAGGTGGAAATAGGCATTAGCACCCCTTGTGACCCCGCTTGGGATAAGTGTGATGGAATAGAGTTCCCAATAAAGTTTATCAGGAGAGGAAAGGGTTAAGTAGTCAAATATTTGCTGGAAGATCCTTGAACAAACTTTGGAAATACTAAACCCAGTGAACCAACACCAATGATTTCATAAGACATTCCTGACTGTGAAGTTTCCACATCCAAGAAAATTGAATTCTGAAAAACATGACTATTCCCCTACTAAAGGTCTTAGACTTCCTGAATTCAATGTTCATTTTAAAATAATTTGAACAGACAACTTTGGCCACCAAGTAAAAAAGTGCTTTCCTTTTCCTCTTTTGCCCGGGTAAGAGGCTTCTGAAGTTGTATATGTTTATCAAGAATCTTACCAAAAAGAATGTGCAGCGACATCCCAAGAACAAAAGCTAAGGATTAAGAGAAGAGGCCCACAGAACCTTTGAGATTCTATGTTAAAAGATGGGTGACAATATATCTGAGAAAGGCATGAGTTCCCTCCAACAAACTTAAAG